GGGAAAAAAAAATCTAAAAGCTTTTTGCCTATTCATTTACACAAGAATGAGCTTTGGAGTGCTTGAAAATGCTAACTCTTGAAAACGAATTCCCAAGTGGAAGTATTTGTAGTGACTTTGCATATTTGTGTCGTGTCTCTTTACAAAGTGATATCAGTGTAAACAGGGATTTATTGCACGCACTGCTTATATTATATTTGCATGATTTATTAATTTTATTACAAAAACTTACTAATGTCAGTGCAAATAGTTCAAAACTGGTTTAACTAGATTGCTTTTTTAGTGGTGGTTCATTCCGCTGTGGTGACTATGTGAGTAAGACAAGACATTGTACTTTTCTCTTTAGATAACACTACTATAAAAAGCAAATGGGGCCAATGTCTTAAAATGCAACGTGAAATTTGATTGTAAACACACAGTCATGGGTTTAATTGTTAAGGAGTTGGACTTGTGATTGAAAGGTTGCAGGTTCAAATCCTGGCACTAGTAAGTATTGTTGGTGGTATCGGAACAACCAGCACTTTTTCCACCCTTAATACCATGACTGAGACACCTGTCCCCCCAATTGGTCACCGACACCACAGCAATGGCTGCCCACTGCTTTGTACACTTGTAGTTCTCAATGAGCATTTCTTCAAAAGTAATGTAGAAGGTAGTCTCATGTAGCCATACCTCAGACTGAAAGACAAAGGTCTGAGAAATTTGGCCACTTTGAATGGTCAAGACTAACTGACAGGTTAACCAACCAATCTCCTTATGTTTTGTGTCACATTATGTTTAGGGGTGTAAAATGTCCACAGAATAAAAGTGAGACTGGCACACAACCGTGCATCTTGCTTTCACAAACGTCTTTAAAAGTTTACACCAACGACACATTAATATCCTTAATGATCTGTTAGCAAAACATGTAGGCAATCAGTAGGACGTGGATGTAGACATAGTATTTTTTTATTTGATCAGACTTGTTTTCAGGTGGACTGGTACACTAGACTCGCAAAGGTTCAGTATATTTAAACTTATCAGAGGACGACTGAGAATCTGCTTAAGTGTTTCCAGAAAAATGTGACATATGGATCAGAAGTTTTGTCAGAATTCATGTGGTTAAAAGATATAATATAACGGCAAATGTATATGTGTCCCAATTTATGTAATCAAATAATGTTTAACATTTATTGAATAAGTGTGTACATAAATCAAGAAAACATGTTATTGGATTCAGACATAAACATACAGAGGAATCTTAATGCTAATCTGAACTTTAATGTTAATTAGGACCAAAGACTGCAGAATTAACAGCTGTCATTAACTGCTGTTATCATTGTGTGAGCAACACACAATAGTGATGTTGTATTTTCAGAATGTATGATTCTCATTGTCACAACCTACTGGCAAAAACTTAACTCACAGAAATAGTCAATAGCTATGTTTCCATCCACCTATTTTATGCGCATTTTGCAAATGCGCATAAAAAAACAGTTGATGGAAACGCCCATGATGCGCATAAATTTTGAAAATGCGCATAAAAAACTTATGCACCTAACTGGGTAGGATAAACTTTTTATTCGATAAGAAAAGATGCGCATAAACTGCGATGGAAACACTTTTACCGCACAAACTCCAGCATGCGCATTAAAAAAGGTCATGTGATTTTGTTAAAAGAGATCATGTGATGCTTAAAATGTGTGTGAATGGACAAAACGTCAGGCTGAGCACATTATAAAACATCTGAAATGTTGTTTTGGTCATTATAAAACGCCTTACCATTTCAGTATTAATGTTATTATATTATTAATGACCTCCAGAATCAAGAGCGCCTGTGCTCCGCGTCTGACACCTTCAAACGCCACTGCGCGCTTACTGCTTGTCAGGATTGTCTTCTGAGGCGCATTCAGTTAGAAAAGATAGATCCAGCTTCTCCTACTGCAGCAAATGCAGTTTTTACTGTTGATATTTGGCGCCAGTTAATCAGGAAGTGACGATTTTGTTCACTTTGACTCGTTGGATGGAAACGCTGCTTCATTCGCACAACTTTTATGCGATAATCCAGTTTTGCTCATAAAGTTTATTCGCATTTTTGGATGGAAACATAGCTAATGAATAATCGAAGTCAATAGAAATGAATTTGTCTTTTGAGTGCTTTGCTGTTATTTAATTCAAACATTGTTATCTTGCAATATTTCTGCGTACATTTTGAACTCTCGTTTGCATTAAAATTGTGAACGCGTTAGGTTTGCTTTGCAGTCATTCTTTTTATGTTCTTTTGCCATTTGAAAGAAACCATGCATTTACAATTGTCCCTCAGAAGATACAACATAAAAGCATTATTAATGGAATACACTGTCTGACAGCATGATATATAGTTATGAGGCTCTCTATAAACTCAAACAATAAATATTGCAGAGTCATATTCAGCCAAGACTTGAACATCAAGGCCACACAGTTTGGCTTTAATTATGATTTGATTATTCATGTAGTGCATAATGTACTATTCTGAGAATCATTGTGCTTCTGATGTCCCATCTCGCTGTTATACTTTCTGTCATTTATAGCAACTACATTTAGCCCTGTAAAGCCGATTACCTCTTCCAAAGACTCTGAATTTTACAGTTATTGCAAAGGAGAAAACTCACTCATTGGTAATGTAAGGGAAAACAAATTCTCAGGAATTTCTTATCAATACTCTTATAAAAAAGGATTTTTCCCTCAGTTGTTCTCAGCTATTTTTATCACAACACAGGCAATTTGTTCCCTTACTTATGTCTTTGTTTTGTAGCCGGAGGGCAAATCCTGAATTATGTCATGGAAAACTTGAACTAATTGTGTCACGTGTGGTTCCCTACTCACGGTAACTCTAAGATATTGTTGTCAAGGGAACCTGGAAGCAGTTTAGCTAGTCTTAGGGGGCACAGTTATGGAGGGAGGTATAGCCTCATGTGAGGCACTTATTAGTGTTATAAATAACAGTATGAAAATACACAGCTCTATTTAGTTTGAAAAAATAAATTGTAAAGATTCTGGCAATGTAAAACTAACTACAGAGGCAGTCGCTTTGACCACTTTACTATACAGGGTGTATAGGGTACACTTAACTATAGTACCCTAACTTTTTATAAATGTTTGTATATTTAATTCTTAACATTGTTTTTTTATTACTACCTTGAGTGGTCATAATGGTCAAACTGAACATTTCAGCATCTCTTATATTTTCAGTAAATCCTGAAACAAAACTGTGGTCTCACACTTTTCTTAAGTTTAGTTTTAAGTATATTGGGGCCATAAGCTTTTTTTTTATAAATTAAAAAAAATTAATAATTTCTATGTCACCATACAGTAGTATTCCTGGGTTATTATACAGTCTGTCTCCTCAGTCGAAGAGTTTATCTGTTAAGTTCTGCAATTATCCTGAAGTGATGGCAGGTGTTTAAACTTCCACAGTATTAAATTGTTTAGGGACAAAGAGACTGAAGTGTTAATTTCTCAACAGAACCTTTTCAGGCTTTTAATAGATATTCTAATATCCATAAATATCCTAACATAAACCGAATGACATCCAAATAAACATTGCCAGTAAAATCAACTTCAGTCCATTAGTTGTTTATTAGGACTGAAGTACCTACAGGTTGTGGTAAAAGGGGTGAGTATTGAAAATGAACTAACCTTCCCGCTATTTTAGACAAAGCAAAAGAGAGCAGTTGGCTTCGAGTCATAGATCTATTGATTTGACTGATTACAAATCTAACACATTAAAGCATCTGTCATTTAAAATAGTTCAGCAAGTGTTTAAACTTTTCAATACAACACAGAGACTTAAAAAAAGAACAATCCACACAAACAAGATGAGCTCCTGTAAAGCCATGACTATATACATGAATGAATGCAAGTTGTAAATTGATTGTACTGATTGATTGTATAGATTAATTGATTAATTTATGAAAGAATATAATGTACTGTATTTTTGTTGCATGTATTATTTGAGTATGTATTTAATTGTAAAATCAACTTATTAATTTTAAGATAATGGTTTATTAAATGGCATTTTGTGATATTTTTAAATCTTTTGTTCAATAAATTATTATAAATATGAATAATTATAAATAAACATAACTTATTGAATTTTACACTTTATTTTGATTGTCCGTATGTTGAATTTAAGTTGCATTGCATCTACATGCCAACTATTTCTCATAGGATTAAAAGTAGACTGTTAGATTGGGGTTAGGGTTAGGGTTAGTGTAAGTTGACATGTGCTTGCCAAGGTTCTTATAGTCAATTAAACGTCTGTTGTAGGAGCAGTATCAACTGATATTAAGCAGACAAATCTACTAATATTCAAATGGACCATCAAAATAAAGTGTTACCTTGCATTTTATAAGACAAAACAGAGGGCATTTTCAATAAAGAACATTTAGAACCATTTAAAACACTAAATGAAGTAAAAGTGAAGTGAATTTACACATGAAAACATTACAAAATGCAATACTAAAATTTTACATTTAACAGTGCTCATTTTTTAACCAGTAGTTAATGGCATTAATCCTTGGTAAACCGATCTTATACCGAGCTTATACATATGTTTATTTATTGAAAATAAATGCAAAATAATGCTAAATTCATAAACCTGAGAAAAATATGTTTTGCTTCTAATATGGTATCTGTGGTGTAAAATCCTGCTCCATTACTAAACACAGAGCTATGGCTTAAATCCATGTGTGTGCCTAAAGCAGCCATTTCTTTTGTCCCCATTGTATTGCCTGTGACAACCCTCACCCAGTGTTAAAAGCTCAATTTTACACTGCTCTGAATGAAATGGAAAAAGCCTGTGTGAGCTGTTGTGATGTCAGTCAGACATGTATGACAGCCAAGACACACAGATTCTTTCTGTTGTTCTTTAGTTCTATCTTTAGGCTAAAAGATAGAGCTCAGACATGTGATGGTCAAAGCCTTGCCATTGGTTCTCATCAGCATGTCCTCTGTCACGCCGCTGCAGTCGTTCTGCCCACCTTGTTTGTCACCGTGAGGAGGGGTTTGCCTTCAGAGGACGCCTTATTGGGAATCTCCTTCAGGACCATGGCAACGGTCTTATCTGCAGCCCTAGAGTCTTTCCCCTACAACAGTGAAATCAACAATGACTTGTGTCAGGACAGAACATTTACATATTCCAAATATTATTGGTCCTACGGTGACTAAAGGCTCATAGATGTATATGCTAAAAGATTGATATGTTTACACTGAGCGTCAACGACACACAGCAAAATTAAACACTGCCTAAAACCACACATGACAACAGACGTATGGAGGGTCAGTATGTGTTTTTTGTGTGTCTGATGGAGTTTTGTATCACAGTAGTCATGTGAGTGATAGTGTGGCTGTCATCAGTGGTCGGCTGTTATCTAAGTGACAGAGATGTATGACCAGTCCGAGAAGTCCATCTCTGGAGGATTTAAACACTGCCTCCCTTGGGAAAAACTGCATCCTATTGCTCCACGGTCCTGTTAGATAACAGGTTAAAGAAAAACTTCACTTGACGGCCGACAGACAACCAATGTAGTCTATTTTTCTAACCACCAATCTGTCCTTTCTATTAGTCCATACTTCTATCTGATATTTTTTTTTTCCAAAAGGCCACTAAATCTACAATCTTTAAAGCTTTCATTTCTTTACTGTTTTAACTAACAAGCATGGTTTTGTCTTGACAGATAAAATTTTTATAATTCTCTATTTCACCAGCAGAAACCGTTGCTACTTCACCAACCTCGCTTTAGAGCTAGTATTTGAATGATTCTCTAACGTAATGTCTAAAGTGATGACAAACAGGTTATTTTGCTCACATTTTAAGATTATAAGGCTGAACGGTAAGAAATGCCATCAGTCTTGAGAGATTTCCTAGTATTTCTCTGTTGCAATTGGCGGATCACAAAAATGAACTCCTAAAAAGCCAAAGCAGAATTAACACTACCAGATTACTGTTGTGTTTGCGAAAAACGCTAAACACATGCAGGCTTTTATTCTTTCTTTCTTTTTACTGCACTAAACTGCAGTAATGAAAATACGAGACTTATTAGAAACAAACAGAAAAAGTAACTCTTATAAATACAATTATGCTGTCGAAGTGTTGTATAAATGCAATTTCACACTCATAGCAGTGCGATATAGCTGTATATCATCACTGGTGGAACACTAAGGCACTCGGCCTGTGGACCACTTAGACTGCTACTCATGTCATATTGCTCATATACTCACACAACATACAAAACAAACCATTCTATAGCTTTTTTTCCATCCATAAGGCCTGCAAATCATAATCAAACTTTTTAGGGCTTTATAAAGTTGCTTTGATGCTTTTCACCAAGGGTGTCAAACTAGCAAAAATGATAAATGAATAAATATATTATAATTATAATTAATGAATAATACAGGATGGGTTTGGAATTCAATAAAGGTAATTATACTTATTTATATTTCATGTGAACAGCTGATATGGTCTACCTCATAATCACATAATCAGTGGAGAAACATTTATTGCTTACATCTCATTCATGGCAAATGAATCTGATGATCTGTCCATATGAAATTGTTTTTAAAACACTTAAACACAGCTCTACTCCACTCTCTAGTTTTGAAATGTGACATCAGCCTGAGATTTCATAAAGATGAAATACTGCATCTTTGCAAAATCTTGTTCCACTAAAAAAAAAAGAACTCAACCAATTTACAGCTTAAAACTTTCCAGTCATCTGTTTTTTTTTTTTTTCTCAACAAATGTATTCCCTGACTGTCCAATCTAGCATGGCTCTGCCATTAGAGATAAGAAAAGTAATCTCTCTCTCTGAATCGCTCTGTCGTCATTCTTAAAACGAGAAGTGCTCAATTCATTCACTCCAGCCTGTGATTGTGTCTTACTGGTCTAGTGGCATTGTGTGGACGTGACCCAAGAAACGACTCTCCAGAGACCTTAATGCTATTAATGAAGACCAAGACACTGTCTGCTGACAAACTTCTGCTTCTTACTAGACTGAAATAAAGCGTGAGTGTTCTTTGATTAAAAATGTAAACAGTCCTTACAAAGGAAGAAGTCTTTTCTACTTGTTTTTGTCTTCTTTGTCCTTGTCTTTTGCTTTCTGTTGACCATGGTTTAACATTTAAACTTTTGCTTTTTATCTACAGTAAATAATCATAGTTTATTTATTTATTATTATTATTATTTTTACATAATAATCCATTTAAGTGTCTAGCAGACAGGTTTGGAAGATAAGGTTCCATAGTGGTAGTTCATCTATTTACTAATACAAACAAACAAAAAGCAATACATGTATTTCAGTTTTTATTCATTTTATTCAATTTATTATTCTTTATCATTAGTTAATGGGGAAAATGTGTTCGTTAATTGATTCTTTAAGCCCCAGTCAGATCAAACAATTTTTATTGTCAGTTTTAAAATTATTTTGTCTTGACAAAATCTTGACTTGTCATGAGTGACAAATGTGCCAGACTACATGTTCCTTCGCGATCAGTCATCCTGTGATGTCTATGACAATTGCTATAACCCAAAGCAGTCCCAAATTTTTCTATAACAATATTTCTTATCTTATTAATTTCAATGTTTTTTTTTTAATCGTATTTCAATGTCAGTGAACTTTGATGCTTGCTGATAACTAGGCTACACTATTTAAGGGCATTTGTTATGGCATTGGTAGGATCAAACGTGTATTTCTTTTTAATATAAATATATATTCTTTTAAATCTAAATGTACATTTTTCTACCCAGGGTTTTGCACAGGGTTGTTTATTAAACACTCTGAACTTTGTCTGAACTTGCTGTGAGTAAAAAAAAGCAAAAGATAGAGGTTTGTGATACAACAATTACAGTCAAGCATTAATGAAATCCTCATTTTCTACAGAGCAGAACAAATCAACACCGCAGAGTTGAGTAGTGGACGGGCACAAACAAAAATATTATTTGTAATTTTGAAGCAAATTTTGTTTGGTATTCATACATTTATTAATTTTCTTGTCGGCTTAGTCCCTTTATTAACCCAGGGTTGCCACAGCGGAATTAACCGCCAACTTATCCAGCATGTTTTTACGCAGCAGATGCCCTTCCAGCCGCAACCCATCTCTAGGAATCGTTTGGTATAATTTGTATATAATTTGTATATAACTTTAATGTATTTTTTGATGATCTGTTATCTACTAGATAAACAAGAACAACAAATAACAGAGGTGAAGTGCTTCAAAACAAGTCCGCTATATGCTTGAGTGCCAAATAATTAACTAGTTTGTTAAATAAAATAAAATCTAGCCTAAATAAAATGACAGTAAAAAAATCACAGTTTCAGGGAAGACTATATTAAACTGTTTTCCTTGTTAATGACATAATCAACCATTGCTGATGAGTTTAAATTTAATTAGTTTAATCAAGTAATTTGAATAAGCAAGACATCCTTTTACAATGTATTAGCAGCACTGAAGTATTTCCAGATTACTTTGGAAGAGCGAACTCGATCGGAAGGCTAAGAGAACTCAGAAACTCTTGAAAATGGAGATGTCTGCATATTTGTGCCAGTCTGTCAAATAAACTAATTAACATTTTCCAGTAGAATTTACAGTAACTTACTGGCAGCAGTTTGCCAGTAACTTACTGTAAATCAATTACAGAAGTACTGTATTTACATTTACAGCACCATTTTTACAGAGTTGTACGTATATCTTTACTGTAAAATCTTTCACAGTGCAACTTTACTTACTGCAAAATGTGACTTAATATTTAATTATGGGAATTAAACTGTTTGTGTCTCTTTGTAATCAGTTCAGTTGTGAAACAGTTCAGTTGAGTGATACATTGGTTGTAGGAACAAATAAGCTGCATGCACATTTATCTGTTATGGTAATTGTACATATGTAATTTATTATAATTTTTTTATTTAACTTGATGCCTTTAAAAAACTCAGGGTGAGCACATTTACAACAAATCTGTTGCATAATTATATATATATATATATATATTGGGAATTCTTTGATATATAGAGCATTCAAAATGTTTAAAAAACTTTTATAACATCATAAATGTCTTTTCTGACACTTTAATCAATGCAATGCATCACTGAAACATTGAAACCACTGTGTCTGAAACATTTTAAAACTATCAATCCTGCATTGCATTGAACTCAGGTGACAGAAAAAAAAGGTTTTTGAAAACTACTACAGGTGTTTGAAGTCATTATTTGGGAGGCAGGTGTGTCAATGAGTTATGGAAATAAACAGGTTATGAATGTTATGCTGCTATTGCCACAGCTTTCTGTGTAAATAATCTCACAAGTGTCTGGTATCAGCTGCTATCAGTGGTGCTGAACTAATAGATTCATTGGTGAGTAAAAATACACCTTATACTGCCTCGTAACACTTTGATCCTACTATATTATTTATTTGCAATTATCAGCACTCAGTTAATTTGCTACCTTTTATATGTAAAATTATATCTGCACACAAAATGCATCACCTTTCTAAATTGCTGCAATATTCTGTAAGCTATTCTTACTTACTGTATCATTCCCTCACAATTTTGACGTTTAATCTATTATTTTAATTTGTTTATAAAGCTGCAATTAGGAAAAATCTGAATTTCAGTTGATCCCTTGAAAGACTGTCAGTTGGAAATTCTGCCACAACCGGTAATCCTCCACAGCAGGAGGCATTTCATTTTTCCGGCACAAGTTTTGAGACTAAAAAAAGTTAATGATGTTGCATGTTGTAAGCCGCTTAATGCTGTTTTGCTCCATTTTGCAGATTTAGGAGTATTAGATCATTCTGAGAAGTGTGTTCTTACATTATGGTCATGAAATAAATACGAATGATCTAAAAATAAACTCTACTTCAATTCAATTACAGCATCTAAATATAAAAGGCAATCTCTTGTCAAAAATCTGAGTAGGGCACAACCTGGTGAACTCGTCCGGAGCTGGTGTTTGCTCCTTGTAGTCTGTGGATTACATAACAGGAGTGTGTGGATAATGCATGGCTGTTTGATGCATCTCTCGTTGGGCTCCTGGCAGGGCTCTGTCCATTTACCAGATCTGCCCTCGGCTTCAAAAAGCACATTCATGTTGAA